AGCAGAGCTCAGGGAAAGCTGAGTAAAATTATGCTTGTACTTTTGGACCAACACATCTACAACCTTTATCCCTGAAACAGGATACTGTGGTGCACTTATCTTTTTAGTGGCTAAGGTTTTTAATAAGCATAGTACCAAGCTTCTAGTACCTCATAGTAATAGTGATTTTGAGGTCCTTTTAGGCCTAATTAATGTGAGTTTAAATAGACATGTACTTTCAGCAAGTCATATTCCACAAACCATAAAGCTGTGGCTAAAATATACTAGCCACTGAATTAAGATTACCGCTTTTTGCCCTCTTGTAAATTAGCTACTACATTCTTTGTAACTACATGTTTGTAAAAAGAAGGTGCACAATATTTTACAATCCACCTGTTATGTCTGATCCAATAATCATCATAGCAGTTCACTGTAATTCACCTATCTGCAAAATTAAGCCTATCACCCCACATTGACTACTTCTTTCATGACTGGTGGGAAGGCTGAAATGTATTGTCTGTGTCTGTATGTTATTATTTGTTAAGGGGTGACTGGCATCAATAAATAATTGATAAACTACAGAAATTCTTTATATAGTGATTTACAGATGGCCATAGCTTAAGAGGATTTGTATGTGTATATGTGCACTGTGTATGTATAACCTTCCCCCTTTAGACCTTTAGTACATTACACATTGTCACTAGGAAGTGCATAGAATTATGTCTGGGAAATTCTGTTTTCCCTAATTTAGAACCATTCAAACATTATAAGTTAAAAAGTTCAAATTAGATGTCATTAGGTTCCCTGTTTTGCTTAGGGGAAACATCTGTGAAGAAAGGACTGGAGATCTAGTGGAAAATAGGGTGAAAATGAAGTAGAACAGAAAGCAAAAAACAAATAACTAGAAGCTAAAACAAGATAAGGAAGATAATGGAAAAAGAATTTTAAAATGTGTAATTTAAAATATTAATTAAAATATGAGGGGGGGGTTATTAATTCACTTAGCGTTATACATCCTTATTATAGATTTAGAGGTTCTCAGAATCTGAAACCCTACAGTGATTTTGCTCACTTTTAAAAAATTATTTTGTAGCTTTGCATAAATATTCCATAGCCATTTTCATATGTGGTATGACAAAGATTTGTATTGGTATAACTGTAAACCCCTTTGTGAAACTTAGGGAAGAAAACATATTTAATATAACTAAAGCCATCATTAAGGCTCTTTATGAGTGCCTGTTGTATCCATCCTTCCCTCTGCTAATATACTAGGCCTCAGCATCACACAGCCTACATGCTGAATCTGGTCCACTGAGCTACTGGATCTGGCCCATGGAGCCAGGGGACTTTGACACTGTTGGTGGTGTGGTGCTCTAGAAGTGTTCCAGTGACAGGGAGCTTTGCCCACACCAGGGCTGAGTGGTGAGGAGCTATGCCCATACTGCAAATGGGGAACAGCAACAAGTGGTAGTGCTGGTGGCCAGCTCAGAACACCAGCCCACCTCAGACACAAGCCAGGTTGTTCCAGCCTACATCTCTGAAAGACTCCTGGCCACTATAATATACCAGTGCCTCCCTCCACTCTGTTAATTCTAAATACCTTCATGAAGTCATACACTTGAGTATGTCAATGTAGCACAATGTGGTGCTGTACAGAGAGTAAGTTCTAAAGTAGCCTGAGTACCAGAAATGGTATAGCTATATTGTTGAGGCAATCCACATAGGCATACCTGCTTTTTTAGACAAAGTGCCTTACTAATGTACCTATATTGCTTCTGATACCCAAGCCAGATTGTTCAGATCTAGTTCAGCTATTAATACACCACACAAAATGTTGTGTAGACATATTTTGTGTCCTGTTCAAGACTCCAACATGTTTTTCATGTGGATTCCAATATGTGTATCTGCCTGCCTCTTTAGGTACTCTCCGTTCATGCTCCTACAATTCAAAATGATCAGAAGTCATGACAATTCAGAGGGCTGTGTATGCCGTAGGAGTGCATAACTTTTACAAGTGCCTCTTTTTGTTGCCCATCCACTGAGTTTCTGAGATTATAGCAACTAAAGAACCTGGGCACAAACTGCAATGGTCCAGGCTTTTTTCCCCTTAGTTCAAAACCCCATGTGTCAGCCAAGAGATGGAGATCACATAAGTGTCAGTTATTCTTTAGCCATAACCCTCGGGTCTTTCTCTAATGTTCCTCAGCTATGTCTCAAATGAGATTTTTGAAGCAGTGATTGCTACTTCTCCAAGTTCAACTACAGTATCTGTATCTCTTTGAATATAAGATACCCGATTACAGGTACTGTATATGAGCTTCCAGCTGGAACTGTTATTGACTCTTCCTTTTAAAGTCATCTCATTTCTGTCCTCTTGCTGAAGTTGACTCTCTGCAGTTTTTGACTTAGTAGTTAGACTTCTGCCTATTCATTTGGTAATGAAGTCTTCTTAATCAAGTGAGAACTCCATTCTTGCTTACAGTGTTCAGTTAAATGCTAGTGTTAATGTGTAAGACTGGACAAATGAGAACTAGGATCTAGTTGGTCCCACAAATAGCCTTTGAGAAATGCAAAATTATGTAAGGAATGATTTATTCTTCATTCCTTTCAGTTCATAGCATACCACAAAGGAGCTGAGGATTTCAGGGGCTGCAAACCATTTTGTTCTGGGAGATGGTACAGTTGTACAGACGTCCTTGTCCATTGTCTTGGGATCAGTCCTAAAAGAGTTTATCAGTAAGAGGTGCTAACAGTTTATTCCAGGATATTGCAAAGTACATTCCAACAGTTACCCTAGGATTGCATCATTGAATCAGTGGCAGAAAAACAGCACTGGTGCCAGCAGCTTACTAACCCCTGATTAGGAGGACAATATATGTATGAGCCAATCCTGGGATATTTTTGTTCCAGGACAAACATAGACACAATTTATCCAGAAATAAATACAATGTCTGTTTCTAGCCAGAAAGATAAGTGTTCACTGCACTATGTTTCACTTGAGCATGGTAAGAGAAAACCAGTATCTGTTAAACATGTACTTTGCACTATATCTGTCTAAACTTAGCTGTGATAACCAAGCCCTACTAGATTTTGAACTGACTGTTTTCCACACAGACCCCTTGCTGGTAGCTTTGCCTGGGGAAGATCTTTTGTTTTTGAGATCTTGAGTATCTTTTGTTTAATATGATCTTGAGTATCTGCTGCTCAGTTGTTTTTTGCACAAAATTAGGGTTTGGGAGTATTTTCAGTCTCCTATGACTTGCCTTTGCTGTAAACAGTTGAAATACATGACCTTTGATTCTGTTACCATTTGGTTACTAATTTCCTTAGGCCTCAGAGGAGTTAAATGTCATTTTGAGCTGGGTGGAACACGTTTTGACCTAGCAGTCTGTAATTTATCCAACTGCTGCTCAGTTTGGAAGTATTTCTCTTTCCAATCTCTTTCAGAATTTCTTACAAGTATTAAATGACCTTCAATTTCTTCACCAACTAAACCTAACTTTATTATTGGGTCTTCCTTTCTCTTCCACGTCTTGATGAAGCTATCTCATGCTTGTCAGAACATTCATCCTTGATAAATTTCAGTTCAAATAAGAGTTCATCATAGGGCATATTTTTTCTGTTGACCATCCAGACTAGTACTCTTTGAATCCCAAGTGTTGTTAGCAGTGAGTTATGCCTGGAATCTTGTATATGAGAGGGCAAATCTCTCTCCTTTAGTTCAATAGCCTTAAGAATTTTTGAGCTAATGCCTGTATTTGCACAGGTAAACAGAAGGTCATTTTCTGATATGGTAATACACCTCAGAAAGCATACTCTTAAGCTCAGAGGCATTCACTATAGTGACTTTTCTTGATCCTAAAACAGTCTCCAGCACTTGCCTACCCTCAGTTCTGGGTGCAATAAACTCTCAGTGAACTTCTTCCTCTTGGTTTTGTAAGGGCCTTCACTGCCTACTATAAAATCGTTGGTTTGAGTTTGCCAAGTGAGATAATTGACCTTTCCACTGGGTCTGGGAGAACTGCCTGAACAAAAAGAAACTTAGTTTCTATCGGCTGTAATCTTTACCTCACATTTCAAAACCTGTTCTAACAACAGTGTTACATCTCAAGAAAGTTTCACAACAGGATGGGGGGCCTCCACTGAATGGTTGCCTGTAAGCCAGTAGGTCTACTATCTGTTAACAGTCCAATTTGTGAATCATAGGTATAAATAAAGGGTGTCTCAGTAAACTGCACAGGTTCCCCTTCCTCAGTGTGCTGGGAGTCTCCTCTTCCTCGGTGATATGGTATATTTCTACAGGCTGTAACCCCAAATTTTGCCAAGTATCTATGAATATGCAGAAAATTTGGATCTTATGTATCATTTTTTTAAAATTCCAGATGCCATTGTTCTTAGACACAGACATCTCACTTGAAACTCTCTCTAATCCTTCCCTGTCCTACCACCATTTGTGTGATGAAACAGTGAGATACTGAGGAGGCATCATATACGACTCCTAAACTCCCTTTTTTCCTGCATCTCATTTTGACTAGTTGCTGAAACACTGGCTGGAAAAATCTTTCCAGAATTTTACAGAAAGCATCACGCACCGTCATCTTTTAAGGAGCTGTGTCTCTGACTGGCTCTTACCGAGGTTTCGGGCCGGTATCAGAGCTGCAGCAGCTGTCTGCCCCCTCCTCCACCTTGTACTGAAATCTCAGACAAGGAAATTTTTACCCCAAGCAGAATGGGGTTAAAAACCTCTTTATAGAGTCAGGTAAATGTGGCATTTATATACTAGATATTTGATTACAAGCCCTTGTCTCAACTTTACACCTGAAAAGCATTGTAAACACTTGCAGAGCTTTATAAAGTATAATAATATATCTGCTCTCTCTACTGTTTTGTAATACTGTGAGATTTTATCAGAAATGATTAAAGTACAACTTAGTATGTTAGCTGCTCCAACTCTTGTATCCAGGTTTCTTTAAAAGTCATCGGACTAAATGCTTTTCCTCCTATCTTTTTAATCTCTACAGAATTTACAGAAAATTTCAGTACCTTTTAAACCCTCGTCAAGTTTATAGTCTTGCTGGAAATGGACCAATGCCAGGGTAAGTCTAAGGCTAATATCATTACAGGAGCTCATTTAATAAAATACAGCATAATTAAATAAACATAGTGATACATATAGATGGCTTTGAATATATCAACCAAACATAGTTATGAATTAATAATTGAAAGAATGACACAAATTATGTGTGTATATATACTTGTAAAACTACACATCATCTATACTACACTCTATGCTATCCATGCATTGTACTGTTTCCCTATGTGATGTATTATATTTTCCTTGTACCTTTGACTGCTTGACCTGCACTCTGAATCCCCTCTGGGACCACTTCTACATTCTATGTATCTAAGCACCACCTCAAAGAGGCATCTCTGGGAGTTTAACAAGAGTGTTTTTCCTTCCCCCCCCCCCCCCCCATTTTGAAATATTTCTGCAAAGATTTGTATTTCTTCTAAGCCATCAAACAACTTCATAGATTCAGTGGTCAGTAAAGATTTTTAAAAAAATGACTTAATTTAGAGTGCATAGGTTATAGTAGCTGCAGCAGTTCCAGGGAGAACATCGTGCCAGCTAAAGTAACGCTACTTCAGCCACACCCTTGAACATATAGCCGAGAACACAAATTTAATGCCAACTAAAAGAATCTACACCTGCAGTTTTAAGGTAAATTTCTTATTTTCTACTATCTGAGCCTGAGTAGTAGGGAATAGTCCAAACCATGATGAAGGATTTTAAGATGTTTTGTATATTAATTAGATTAAATTCCTAAATTTCACGTTAGCTAGAAGAAAAATGGAATGAAAGTATTTGCACATTCATGCCATGTTGTATGCATTATGCAATATTAGTTTTTATGTTTCCTTTTTTGTGTGGGTTTTGAGGAGTTTTTCTAACTATTTATTTTTGGTTAGGTGAGGCCTAGACCTTAGTATAGAGCCACACCCTCCCCCTCCTCCAACATCCAAGTTCACCTCTTGCAGGTGGCAGTGAGGGAGTAGAATCTCTGGACTGGGCTGGCATGAAGGCAACCCTATGAACTCCACAGCTTGGCCACTTCTAGAAGGTACCAGAGTCATGTGCACGTGGGTTGTTGCAAGCGTTTTTTGGCCTGCACCAAAGGGTGCCAGAGTACTAGGACGTAGGGGAGGGAAAGCTTTGAGCATCCAAGGAAGGGCAGGCAGGTAGACTCCCCTGGAAATTTCAGGAGCAGGTGGGGCATGGTCAGCTGTCTCAGGGTTACAGGTAGAGGTCACTGGAAATTTACAGGCTGAGGCATGGGATGTTGCCAGCATTGTGGGGACATCTGCGGTAAGCCCCTGGAAAGTTTGAGATCATGGGGGTGGCCTGGCCCATGCAGACCCAATCATTCTGGAGCAGAGGCCACACCCAACTGGAGTTAGAGTGAGAGCCATGTGCCATGACCCACACTTACATACAGCCACCATTCCATCCATCCGTCCATCTACCCTCTCACCTACCCCACTCCTTGGAGGTGGACCCTTACCCACATGCAGATTCTGAGACCCCATCGGCATCACCACAGACCACCAAAGACCTCTTCCCATCCTCTTCCACTACCCCACCCTGGTGACACAACTGGGGCCATGGGGTGGTGAGTGATCTCCTCTCCATTTGGGGTGAGCAGGAGACCCAGAACCAGCAGGGCTTTGACAGCTCAATGCTGCTGGTCCCCAGAATTTTGAAGGACGTAGCAGCGGAGGTGCACCTGAAGCAGCACCTCAGCTCCCTCTACATCTTCTCAACCATGGTCAAGGCCACAGACCCAATGTACAGGACATGGGGGAAAGCTCTGACAGCACACTTGTCATGACCCAGGAACTGGACCCCAATGCAGTGTCCTCCATCTTCTGGAAGCATACCTGTATGTATTGCCCACTCTCCCCTCCCCAGTCTTCAAAACAGCTAACTTGGTTGAACACCTAGCAATAGGGATACTCTGCCAACATCACTGCCACAGGTGTTCTGCTTCTGGTCCTCCAACATCTATTCATTTTCCCACTTCCAGATGCCCAGAGCATCCCCTAGTTCCCTGACTTCCAGAGTAGTGGCTGCCACCACAGCACCCACACCCAGCCCTCCCCACAGTTCTGGTGAAGTTTTTGGAACCGAGCAACTGCACCTTGCTGCCCAGCCAGGTACAGCTTGAGCCTGCTCCACGTGACCGTGGTGGGGACCCAGGCACTGGAAGAAACATGAAGCCCCTAAAGGGAAGTCGGGGGAAGGGAACAGGCAGGCCGTGTCCACACCCAGCAGGGCAGGGAGATAGGAGCATGATGCCATGACAACCCAAAGCCATCTGTGCAAGCTTTTCTCCAGAAAGTAGGCACTGTACCCAACCTGCTCCCCTTTCCTCCCCTTCCCCTGCCCCTCATGGACCAGTGGCCTCTACAAACCATTCCATGGTCACAGGTCTCTCCCAGCCTGTTGCTGTGGAGAACCCCAGAAAGGGTGGTCCCAGTGCATGGGTGGCAGGGTGTGGGGGGCCAGTGAATTACCCTCACACTGACCACTCAAAGCATGGGGCCTCAGGCCATTGATTCCTTGATAGATCTTCAACACAGCTAACACAGTCTTTCAGCATTGAGCAGACCATTCACCCCCTCACCTCCCATCCCAACCCCTTTCTCCCTCCCTAGAGCTCAGTCAAGGTGCCAAGTTCCCCACTACCCCCGTGTGGATATCAGCTCATTGCAGAGCCACAGGTAACATGCAAACCAGACTCTTACGGTGAATGGCAACCTGGGCTTCTTCTCTGCACCTTGAAAGGAGATGACTTCCCCCACCCCAGTGTCAAACCCCAGGTCTTCTGGGGGACCATGTCCTGCATCAGGAACAGGGTGTATTGGCTGGGGTTTCCCAAGGCAAAATGGTCAAGCTTATCCCTCCAGGCCCAGCCAGGAAAAGTTAGCAGTGAAGTACTGGTCCTGTACAGGAGTTGCCATAATGTCTCTCTTTTAAGGGAATGATGCCAGGGGTTTTAAGATCTCTGTTGGCAGGACTCGAGGTCCCCAGATCCTGTGAGGGAGTGGAGCAGGTGCCTGCCATAGATCCTGGAGAGGGACCCAGCCCCTTTCTCCCCAGTAACCCATCCAAGCACTGCTGCAGAGCTTACTGCCCACTCACAGGACCAGTTCTCTGTTTTTCAGGGTAGAGAGCAGAGGCATGGCTCCCAAACACAGGGCAAAAAGGGACAAGACAGGGAGCTTATCAAAACTACTTTCCTATCTCTTTGTCAGTACCCAGCTGAGTGTTGGGACGGTCTTAAATGCTTGCCCTTCATTTTATTAGCAAAAGTTGATACTTTACCCAAAGATGCTGTCTTTCCCCTGTCAAACTGCTGAGACACCACCTGTGTGAGGGAGGACAGTGCACAGAGGACAGAATGGTGGCTCAAGGACAGGGTCATGCAACTTCAGAGTGCACAAGGGACCCCTGTAGGTGGTGTCAGAGAAAGAGGGAGAAGATGTTGCAAGTCTTGGTCATTACCTCTGAGTGCTAGGCATGCACAGATAACTCATGGCACTGGAAGCTGAGGGAGTGGCATGAGGAGAGACTCCAGATATGAAGGGAGGACATCCTCAGGCCAAGGGATGCCTACACCCAAGCTGCCAAGGTGCAGGAACAGGGGCTTGGGATGGCCACCTGTAGTTTTGAGGAGGCAATCTGTCCCTCAGCAGAGCTAGCAGAGTCCCAGCACCAAGAGAGGGAGTATATGAACAGGGTCCTAGATTGCTTTGTGGCCACTTAGTGCCCCAAACTGGCACCACTGCTGCCTCCTGCAGAGACCCTATAGCCCCCACAGGCTATGGATGGTGGGAGAGACTGCTGCCCAGCACCTGATGGCATGCCATTCCCCACTCTGGGAAGTCTTACATGGGGTGAAAGTAATGGAGGTCCTGTGGGAGGGATCCCTGGGTGCCTGGCAGGGGGGAAAGGTCTCCACCATGCTCTGACTGGGAAGAAAAGTTGTTGATGGAGGCAGACCCAGACAGAAAGAGTGAGGTGATGGACCTGGTGACCCATGTTTCAGGGAAATAGAAAGAGCTTTAGTGGGACGTGCTCTGCTGGGTTGTGTCGGGTGAAGATAGTGGGACTGGAGTGCCTGTGGCCCAAAAACAAGGGTTTCCCAAACGCCATCTTCCTCTCCAGGCTGATCCATCCCCCACAAGCTGTGGCAGCTGACTTGTGTAGGCAAGCCCCCAAGCAGTTCTGAGACAGTTCCAGCTGGGCGCAGAAGAGCTTGGAACCAGTGGGAGAGCACAGCTCACAAGCCACCTGTCCAGACTCATTCACCTGCAACATGGGGGGCCCACGGGGAGCTCATCCACCTGCAATCTCTCTCCTGGTCCAGGTCCCCATTTCAGGGGAGCATTGTAGCCACAGTGGGGATGGGCAGGTCCTGGCTCCGTTCTTGGTCTCATCACATGAGGTGGGGTCCAGGCATGGTTGATGGTTGAAAAGTCAGGGTTCCCACAGAGGGAGACTTGGACTTGGAGTGGGGAGTGGATGGGTCCTGTGAGGGAGCACCAGGAATCTACAGCCCCTATTGTGATCATACCTCCAGCTCTACAGTCACTTTCGCTCCCAGCCCCGCAGCCCACTCAGGTGGCCAGTGGGCCAGGATCACCCACCTATCCAGCCCCTACACAAAGAACTCTTTGGTTTGCATCAACGGGAAGAGGAACCAAGTTCTAGCACAAGCAATGTTCAAATAGGTTTTCTTTAAAAAAAAACAAGGAAAGTTTGGCAATTGCAACATTGTAAACTGAGACACATCTCTTTCTCACATCTCATTCCCCTGAATCTTGTCATATGGCTCTCAGGGGAGTTGCTGGGGGGAAAGGCATCCAGGCAGCCAGGGTTATGGGCAATCTCACCTGGATGTGGGACTAGAGGAGCCTGGGCCAGGAGATCAATCGCCTGGTTCCAGGGCATGGGCACTTTAGGACTTGAACCTCTCTGGCCCTACTCATCCATGGAGGACCCCTGGTCCCCATGAGCCGGGAAGTGGTCTGC